GTTACAGAAGTAACAGTCAGAACAAAGGTACGAATTCAAGAGGTGGCTCGTACGGATTATAAAGGTGACTCCCACAATAGTGTAGCACTCATCTCCGCACAGCACTTTGCTCCACACAGAACAGAGGTCAATAGATTCATGACAAATAAAGGACCACAAACTGGTCAAACAGATGCCAATGGTTATTTAAGTCCCCCGAGGCATGAGACTCTCGTGGTGGTACTTACAAAACATAATTGTTTATAAGGTTATAGTCAAATATTCTGTAGAATATAAACAAACATATCCATAGGTTTCATTTTAAGCAAATAGGGGTCAGGAAATAATCCACGTAACTGAAATATTAATATAGTTTATAATAATTCATAAAACATAACTTGTACAAAATAAATGTGGTAACTTAAAACATATGTAAAATATATTATGGTGACTCAAGATATACTATGAGTCACTTTAACTTCAATAGCTTAATCTTTCTTTTCACTATTAAAAATTCTTTCACCTTCAAATATTTTTTTCTTCCTTCTTTCTTTTTTTCCTTTTCTTTCTTTCCTTCCTTCCTTTCCCCCCCCCCTTCATATATAGAAAGGAGCCGTGGGCACCAAGCCACGGACCGCCACGTGTCGCATTCTTATTATTTTTTCATTAATTCAAATTTATTTAAATTTAACTTAGTTATTTATTTATATTGTGATCCCTTAAATTCTTAATAATTATATTATTTTACAAAATTATACATGATAGTACAAAATAAATTATATATTTTTCTAACTATAATTAAATAATATTAGTATAAATTTTACAAGATAACTAAAAATTTGAGTTGTTACAATCTTCTCTCCTTTTAAAATTTTGTCCCCAAAATTTGTCATAAGTGTAAGCTATCCGTTGCGCATTCTGATAAATATATATTAGATTATTAATCTGATAGAAAATATTACTTCAAATTTTTTTTTACCAAAAATAACTAACTGTTTAGTTGTCAAAAATTGTTTTGTGCCAAAATGAAAAAAAATCGATGACTTTAAAAACTTTTCACTCGTTTTGTTTACGATAAAAATAAATAAAAAATAAAATGAGAACACAATGACAGAATCATATACAAGAGTTGAAAAAATTTGAGATGAATTTTTCATTGATGGGAAATAGTTTCAAAATTAGTATCTTTATAATTTGAACCCACTTTTAAAAAGTCAAAATGATTTTTTTTTTGGAATGCTGGACTGAAAATTATATATTATAATTTTGGTGGATGGTTAAGCCCGGCATCCTTTGTTTCTTTTCCTTCTTTTACTATAACACATATAAATTATATCTATTATCCTTTACAAATTATACACACAAATTGTTTTTAATATATATATATATATAAAGTCATTTAAAATTATAATATAATTAAATCAACAAATATAATATTTATGTGCTAATTACCCACTATCCTACTTCTTAAATGTGCATGTGTCCTATGCTTCAATAATGTTTATTTATTTATTTATTTATTTATTTATAAACCATTGCTCTGATACTATTTGTCACGACCCGCTCCCCGAACCCAAGGGTTATGCATCGTGATGGCCAGTAACTGAAGTTACCTCCGGCCAATCCTTGAACAAATAAATAAACGCGAGCGGAAGTAATATTTAAGTGAGGGTACTAAATAATCATCGGAGCTTCTATTTTCATTATAAAATTTATTGACAAAAAAGGCCAATATTTACATATAAAAATATTATAAAAGTGCTGTGTGTGTCTATTCAGCACTTTCAAAATAGTTACTAGAGGATGACATGCCCCTGCATTAATTGGGAAGAATTGAATCCAAATCCTTTAAAATTGATTGGGAAGTTAATTGTATAATACATTTTATTTGGTCATGCCAACATTCAAGTTTTATGAAAGATGATTGAGATAATACTTCTCACACAATAAAAGTATTTGAGTTTTCTAACACGATTATACAATTTGATTGTTAACCTTATTTACAGCTACTGTAGTAAACAATAATGTTTTTACTTTAGGGTTTATTATTTGGATCAAGCATGAAATAGCCCCACATAAAGAAAAATAAAATTACACAAATATACAAATTTCACAAAATACTACTATTCATACTTGCAAATGTGATATTCAGTAATAAAGTCTTAGTATTTTAAATGAAATCGACTAAAATAACATGATAGAAAACATTCAACATCCACATCAGTTAGCAGAGCAAGAATAAGTTAAGTCTGTTTTCCATTAGTCCTACATAAACTTTGTTCAAACTGAACTCTTTTTTTTTTTTTTTAATTTCAAAAATTTAAAAAAAAAAAAAAAAAAATCCACCACTAGCCAAACCAAGTCCTCACCCAAAAAAACTCAATTTTGTAATCTGATTTTGAGTTTGAATTGACACACATCTAATAAAATGTATTATTTTCAATTTGGGGATCACAAATAATTCTTACATCCATCTGCAAAATAAACATTTTTGTGGGTAGAGAGTTGGTTCAAGTTAGAGCAAGTTGGGGGCTGCCCTTGTTGCATAGGTGGATGATTTAATGTAATTCATTTACCAATAAAAAAATTTAGGTTGTAGGTCAACTACTAGGGCCATATGAATATAATTTTGCAACATACATATATCATTTACAATTAATTACTAACTAGTTTTTTCAGAATCTGTTTGGGACACTGGAAATGCAAACCAGAGCACTTATCTTTGCAATATGACCCATAATTTGAAGAACATGTACAAATTTTAGAAGAATGACATTCCTCAGTTTGAAAATGATTAGAAATGGCATAAAACCCTAGCTTCACCAAAGTAAATGCCCTCAAAATCTAAAAATACATATAAATAAGAACAATAAAAGAATTAAAAACTCTAGATAATAGTGAGAAAATGAAGGAGGGGAAAAAAGCAAAATTTTCAAAATTTCAAGCCTCAATTATTTGAAAAATTGAAAATTACTCACAAACAAATACTAGCTTTTCAGCTAATTTCACACACAAACACTACTTACATACAAAATCTAATTACAGATTTTCAAAAACAAAAACAAAAAACGATTGCCGAAAAACATGAGCACACCATTTCAGTAATTGGATGCACACCATTTCACAGCAATTGGATGCACCATATAGTAATCGGATGCACCATTTTATCAGACTCGACTTATTACTCATTTAAATCACACTTATTACTTAATGAGACCCCATTTACTATTAAATCAAACCCCACTTACTACTTAATGAGATCCTTCAATTACTTGTAAATATTGTTACAATAAGTAGTAAGTATTGTCACAATTAGTTATAACTAAGGTCTATTTTGGGAAAAGGGTTAAAAACTACTTTCTAGCATTTAACCCACTTCTCTCTCACAAAAAAAAAAAACAAAAATTAGCTTTTAACCATCTTTCCAAAACACCTCTAAGTTTGCATGTTCACTTACTATTTTATCAAATTTGACTTACTATTCCATCAAACTTCACTTACTACACATCAAACCCCACATTTCTCAATGAAACTCTACTTTCTACTTCATCATACTTTTACTATTTAATGAGACCCCACTTACTATTAAATCAAACCCCACTTACAACTCAATGAGACTTCTCAATTAGTTGTAAGTATTGTTATAATAAGAAGTATTGTTACAATTAGTAATTAAGTTTACATGTTCACTTACTATATCATCAAATCTGGCTTACTGTTATTCCATCAAATTTTACTTATTATACAGTCAAACCCCACACTCCTCATTGATGCTCTACTTACTACTCCATCATACTTCACTTACTATTCAACGAGGCCCCACTTACTATTAAATCAAACCCCACTTATTACTCAACAACACCCCTCAATTAGTTGTAAGTATTGTTATAATAAGTAGTAAGTGTTTTCAAAATTAGTTGTAACTATGTTTACATGTTCACTAACTTTTTCATCAAGCTGACTTACTATTCATTGAGACTCTATTTATTACTCCATCAAACTTCACAATCAAGCCCCACATTTCTCAATGAGACTCTACTTTATACTTCATCATACTTCACTTACTAATCAATGAGACTCCACTTATTATTAAATCAAACCCCACTTACAACTCAACGAAACCCCTCAATTAGTTGTGAGTATTGTTATAATAAGTAGTAACTATTGTCACAATTAGTTGTAACTAAGTGTACATGTTCACTTACTATATCATCAAACCTGACTTACTACTCAATGAGACTCCATCAAATTTCACTTACTACACAGTCAAACCCCATATTCCTCAATGAGACTCTACTTACTACTTCATCATACTTGACTTACTACTTAATGAGAACCCATTTACTATTAAATCAAACCACACTTACTATTTAATAAGACACCGCAATTAGTTGTAAGTATTGTTATAATAAGAAGTATTGTTACAATTAGTAATTAAGTTTACATGTTCACTTACTATATCATCAAACCTGACTTACTACTCAATGAGACTCCATCAAATTTCACTTACTACACAGTCAAACCCCATATTCCTCAATGAGACTCTACTTACTACTTCATCATACTTGACTTACTACTTAATGAGAACCCATTTACTATTAAATCAAACCACACTTACTATTTAATAAGACACCGCAATTAGTTGTAAGTATTGTTATAATAAGAAGTATTGTTACAATTAGTAATTAAGTTTACATGTTCACTTACTATATCATCAAACCTGACTTACTACTCAATGAGACTCCATCAAATTTCACTTACTACACAGTCAAACCCCATATTCCTCAATGAGACTCTACTTACTACTTCATCATACTTGACTTACTACTTAATGAGAACCCATTTACTATTAAATCAAACCACACTTACTATTTAATAAGACACCGCAATTAGTTGTAAGTATTGTTATAATAAGAAGTATTGTTACAATTAGTAATTAAGTTTACATGTTCACTTACTATAAAAAAAATTTCCAATATATAAAAAATAAAAAAAATAAAAAAATTTCTAATCCCCTCACTATTTTTCTAATACCATCTCTACCTCCTCACTATGAATCCCCTCCCCAAGGGTATTAGTAATAAAGGTATTAGTAGTACCTTCCCTATCTCTCAAAACAAACAAGGTATTAGTAATACCAAGGTATTAGTAATACCCTCCTTATCTCTCAAAACAAACAAGGTATTAGTAATACCAAGGTATTAGTTAGTCCCAATGTATTAATAGTCCCAAGGCTATCTCTCAAAACAAACACCCCATATACTAATCCCAAGGTACTAGTAATCCTAATCCCCTTGCTATAACCCAAAACAAACGGGGCCTCTATTCTATTGAACTTGACTTACCACTTATTTAAACCACAATTACTACTCAATTAGGCTCTACTTACTACTTTATCAAATTTGACTTACCACTCATTTAAACAACACTTACTACTCAATGAGGCTCTACTTATTATTTGATCATACTTGGCTAATCACTTATTTAAACTAAACTTAAGACTCCACTTACTATTTCATCAAACTTAATCAGTGTGTTTGGTTTGAGTTTTCTGGATTAAGTTTTTTGAAAACTGAGTGTTTTGATTTTCGTATTCTTTTGTTTTTAGTGAATATTTTTTAAATTTTAAACATTTTTTTTTACTTTTTTAGATACACCTTAGTCAGATATATCTAAAAATTTAAAAAATTGTGAAAAAATATTTTAAAAAATTAATAAATACATAATAATACAAAAAAAAAATGTACTGAATTTTTGTATTTTTTTTGTATTTTTGGTATTTAGTGAATTTTTAAAATATTTTTTTACTTTTTAGGTGTATTTATGTTAGGTGTGTCTAAAAAGTAAAAAAATTGCTTAAAATATTAAAAAAATTCAGTAAAAATAAAAAAAACACGAAAAATAAGAATGTAGAATTTTCTGAAAAGTGTTTTCTGAAAAATGAAAACAAGCAAGCTGAATATTTTTTTCTTACCACTTAAATCTCATAATTTTTCTTTTTAACTAGGTGAAATGTTGTTCAAACAAAACATTAAAATTTATAAATTCAAAATATCATAGAAAGTTAAAGTAAAAAGAGAGATAGAGACTATAAAGATATAGATTCTTACCTGAGAAGTTCCAAATCAACAACAATTCTATCTTCAAATATTCAAAATTTTTAGCCCTGGTTTGGCTATCATTTTAGGGTTAAAAAAGCACAAAATGACAAAATAGGCTAAATAAGTTAATGAGATAAAATATAATATCTAACGCATAATCATTACAGTGTTTCTCTTACAAAAGTTAAAAAAGCCAAACCAAAACGAGGCTAAAAAAGTCCTAATACAAAAAATTGACTATATTAGCTAATGCCAAACGAAACTTTAGAAATGAACATACAATTTTATTCATGAAATTCTCAAATGAATTTGAAATTTTCTTATATTTTGTTAATTATATTTCTTCATTAATTGCATTTATTGTGGTAGATGAAAAGGAAACTCGGTTTCATTAATTGCCATTAAGTAGATAAATAAAATAAAATAAAATCATATTTCATAAAATGTTAAAAATTATAATAAAATGTATAAATGTTATATTTATTTTCTACATTTTTTTTTTACATTTTATTTTATAAATTTTATATTTATTTAAGAGGTTAGGTGTATTTTGATAATGTTTGAATGGTAAGTATAGTTATGTGGAATAGTAAGTACAACCATATCAAGTAGTAAGTGTGTTGAGTTGTTGCGGTACGTTGGAAACTACTCATTTAAACAACACTTACCACTTAATGAGACTCTACTTATTACTTTATCAGATTTGACTTACTACTCATTTAAACAACACTTACCACTCAATGAGACTCTACTTATTACTTTATCAGATTTGACTTACTACTCATTTAAACAACACTTACCACTCAATGAGACTCTACTTATTACTTTATCAGATTTGACTTACTACTCATTTAAACAACACTTACCACTCAATGAGACTCTACTTATTACTTTATCAGACTTCACTTATCACTCATTCTAAGTTTAAGATTCCACTTACTATTTCATTAAACTTGATTTTTTTTTTCCTTACAACTTAAATCTCATAATTTTTCTTTTAAGTAGGTGAAATGTTGTTCCAACAAAATATTAAAATTTATAAATTCAAAATATTATGGAAAGTTAAAGTAAAAAGAGAGATAGAGACTATAGAGACATAGATTCTTACATGAGGAGTTCCAAATCAACAACAATTTTCTCTTCAAATCTTCAAATGTTCAAAAGTTTTAGAAATAAACATAAAATTCTGTTCATGGAATCCTCAAATAAATTTGAATTTTTTCTATATTTTATTAATTATATTTCTTCATTAATTGCATTTATTATTTTGAAGTGTGGTAGATGAAAAGGAAACTAGGTTCCATTTATTGCCATAGAGTAGATAAATAAATAATAATAAATAAAAAAAATCATATTTCATAAAATGTAAAAAATTATAATAAAATGTATTAAATTCATATTTATTTTGTATACTTTTTTCTTATATTCGATTTTATAAATTTCATGTTTATTTTAGAGGTTTTTTAAATTTATTATAACTTATTTTTTAAAATTTACCTGTTACCTGAAAAGCAGATTATGTGTATTTTTTAAAAAACTTGAATGTTAAGTATAGTTATGTGGAATAGTATGTAAGTGCTTGTTTGGGATAGTTTATAAAAGACAAAAAATTAAAAAATTACTAAAAAAGTTAAAAAGTTATCACTATTTACCAAAAAAATATCAAAAAAAAAAGAAAATAAAAAAGAAAAGGTACACAACCCAAATTTGTATTGAAGTGATGGTAAAGGCTCGCATGTAAACATGAACATGTCAAAAAAACAACAACAACAAAAAAAAAAGAATAAAAAAAATAATTAGATGAGGCTTCCCTCTAGCCCTTCATCAGACTAGAGGGTATTGTTGGGCCCGTGAGGGCTCAGCACGAGTTCCGTTTCGATGATCCGAACAGTTCAATGTGTAGAACTCGTTGAGTACTATATGTTTATAAAAATCATATTGATTGGATATCGTTTGCTATGTAATCAAATCAGATTTTTATCAGCCGTTTATTTTTCACCGTCCATTTTTTTTTATATACAAAATTGATTTGATCACATAGCTATCGATATCCGATCAATGTAATTTAATATAGGTATATAGTACTTGACGAGTTCTACACATTGAATGATTCGAATTATCGAAACGAAACCCGTAGTGGGCTCCCACAGACCCAACAATACCCTCCAGTCTAATGAAGGACTAGAGGGAAGCCTCATCCTATACATATATTCTGAAGCATCCTGCCCACCATCCTATTTCAAAGCAATCCGTACTGGTTCCTTCAATTATTACTATCAGTACGCATAGGGCATATGGATAATACGACAATTTATTTATTTTATACAATATTTTAATATATATTTTTCGTAAAAATTTAAAAAGTTATCCCAAACAATCATCTTTTTTCCTCTATTTTTTTATCTAAAAAGTCAAAAAGTGTACATATATAGTTCATTCCAAACAACTCCTAAGTGTACTTTTTGACTTGTTAAATAAAAATATAGAGAAAAAAAATATGATTGTTTGGGTTAACTTTTTAACTTTTTACAAAAATATTTATATTAAAATATTATATAAAATAATAAAATAACTGTATTACCCCTATGTCCCATGCCTACCGACAGTGACGATTGATGGCAAAACATACGGATTGCTTGAAAGATGTGTGGTGGGCAGACATATTTGAGAAGATATATATAATTTTTATTATTTCTTTTAACAGATGTGTCCTGTTTCCAGCTTGTACCATCACTTTTGGTGCAAAATTGTTTTTTTTTTTTGTCTTTTTTGAATAGTGATAACGTTTTGATTTTTTTAGTAATTTTTTAATTTTTCACCTTTTAAAAAATATCACAAATAAGCACAGTATAATTATATTGAATAGTAAGTGTACTTAGTTATAATGATAAGTGGAAAAATCATTTTTTAGCTTCAAAATCATTGAATACTATCTCGTTTTTTACAAAATTATCTAGATTTCTTAATCTAATTTTAATCATTAAAAATCATTGGTTAGATTTATTTACTTTTAGATCTAATAGTTCAAATTTATTTATGTATAGAACATGGACACCGCTTTCATGTACCATAGAAATTTTCTAAATCATAAACAGTTTTAACAATTATGATGACTACCAAACCCAAAAGCAAAGTTCATGAAACATGTGTACGCCCAGGTGGCTCCTGCAATAATTTGCGTACATGGCATGGTTATTATTTTTTTTTCCCGATACATCGGAAAGAAAGGTGACAAGTTCTCATCCAGTTAGCGCCATGGCACTGGTTCAACCCACCGGAATCAGCCTCTCCACAAAATGGCAGGGTTTTTGATTAGGCTGTGCCTGAGAGGGGCTTTGGTGTTTTGAGTCAGGTGAAGCTTGGATAGGTTGCTTGGAGTTGGGAGCTCCTATCTGTTGATGTTCTGGTGTGTCCTGCATCAGATGTTGTAGTCTGTCTTTATGGCCCTGTCTGCTGCTCTGCTAAGGTCTTATTCTGCTGGTCTGCTATGCTTAGGTGCTAGCAATGGTTGGTTGGTTGTATTGTCTCAGAAGATTAGCTGAATGTCTGAGTTGGGTGGCTATTTTGTTGTTGCTCTGGTCTGTATTTTTTTCGTTGGTCTCTCACTAACTTTGGAGTACTAGCAAATGATAGGATGAATTTTGTGGTGCTAACTTAGTTGAGATCATTTAGCTTATTGCGATACTTTTGCACTTTCTTTTTCTTTATTAATGTAATTTGCCTTGTACCTTTTACTTGTTTATTCTATTAATAAAGTTTCTTTTTGCCGATAAAAAAAAAAAAGAAACATCGGAAAGAAAGGCATGGTTATTTATAGAAAGCGAACTCTAAGGTGGTGTTTGGGAAGTTGGTTCCCAAATTTTTTTCTCATTTTTTTCACTAAAAGACAAAAGTTTTGCAAAATCAAAAAAAACACATCCAAACAAAATATCACATTCAACCCCATAATCATTTCACTTTTTCTCTCACAAACATCACATCCAACCACATAAAAACTCAACTATCTTCCCAAACACCAAAAATTTTTTATCTCATAAAAACCTACATCTACTAAAATCTACATAAAAACTCACTTCCCAAACACCATCTAAGTCACAAATCACAGAGAGGGTGGTCTCTAAGGTGATAAGAGAAAAAAA